GGTGGGGTGAGGGAAGGGGAGAGGTGCCTCTTCTTGTTCTTTCTCCTGGTTCTTTTTGTTGGCGATCTGCGACCCATCATCTGTGTACGCGCGTGTGTCTGTATGTGTGTGTGTTTCTCTCTCTCTCTCTGACTGGCGGGAAGTGCAAAAGGGGGGGGGGGCGGGGCGCGTGCGTATGCGTGTGTGCGAGCGGAAGCGACGAGCAGGCAGGCGAGGCAGAGGGTGGAGGGAGAGGAAGGTGGTGGAGGAGGGGGGGAGCAAGCGGGGCACAAGCGCGGGAGCAGGGAGCATGGGAGCATGGGAGGGGAAGTGGGCGACCGCGCGAGAGCATGCATGATGACGAGTGGCGAGGGGTGGTGCAACGAGGCGCCATGTACACGAGCACACATGCATGGACGCGTACGTGCGTGCGTGCGTGCGTGCGTGCGGCGAGGACAGGTAGGAGGGTGGGCGTGGGCGGGCAGAAGGAGACGGGGTGCGGAGTGGAACAGGGAGCAGGGGCGCGCGAAGGCAAGGCAGTGCAACAAGGAGCAGAAGAGCGGGACCAATCCTCAGGTGAAGGGGGGAAGATGGTGCATGCGTGCGGTGCGTGCGGTGCGTGCGGTGCGTGCGGTGCGTGCGATGCGTGCGATGCGTGCGATGCGTGCGATGCGATGCGATGCGATGCGATGCAATGCGTGCGTTTGCGAGAAGGGAGAAAGAACAGGCAGAAGACAGGGCGAAGAGGCGGGCACGCGAAGGACGGGCGACAGGGAGGATGGACCTGGGGGCGGGGCGGGGCGGGGCGGACGACATGGCATACAGACGACGGATGTGTGGCGAAGGCCTCGGCGACGTGACGCGGCCACGTCGGCAGCGCAAACACAGCACCCCTTGTGTGCTTGCGCGTGTGTGCACGGTGACACCTCCACACATGCATACACACATGTGTGCGGGCGCATGCATGAGGGACGACACGCAGACAACACCCCGATAGACAGACGCCCATGCGCGCGGTGTCCCCCTCTCTTGATTGGGCCATATCACCTTGCGCTCTCCTCCCTGGGGCTCCCCCTCGGGGGAAGGAACGCAGTGCACACACCCACTGCGCACTTAGTCGCGGCGGTCGTCCTTGGGGGTGGAAGAGCCGCCAGTGGGGGTGGACCCGGCGCCGGCCGCGGCCGACGGGCTAGCCCCGGGACCGGCACCAGTCGGCGTCCAGGTACCGGTCTGCGAGTTGTACTGGTAGCCGGGGTACTGGTACTGGGCAGCGGCCGCGGCCGCCGCGGCGCCCTGCTGGCCGGAGTAGGCCGCCATGGAGGACGGGTCGGTGCCATACCCGTAGAAGGGGTAATACTGCTGGATGTAGGCCGCATACTCGGCGCTCTGGCCCTGGGCCCCGTAGCCGGCCATGTGCTGGCCCTGGCCCTGGGCCCCGCCGTAACCGGCCCCATAGCCGCCGCCATAGCCGCCACCGGCGCCACCGCGGTAGCCACCAGCACCACCGCGCATGTCACCCATCATGCCGCCGCCCATCATGCCGCCGCCCATCATGCCACCCTGGCGGGCCATGTTGCTGGCGCGGAGCTCCGCATGCGAGGGGCCCGGGGCATTGGGGTCGCCGGAAATGCGCGCGTTGATGATGGCCCGGCAGTTGGCGATCCGGTCCGGGGTGCCGGAAATGATGACATTCCGGTTGTTGTGACCGTCGACCGGCTCCACGCGGACCGTGGTGTTGGTGCTGGCCTGCAGCCAGCGGATGATGTCGCCATTGCGGCCGATCACGGTGCCGGCCGAGTTGGCCGGGATGTGGAACTGCACGGTCTCATTCCCCGGCACCGGGGCCAGGTGCGGGTTGCCGGTGGCGATGATGGAGTTGACGGCGTCCTCGGCACGGGCAACGGCCGGCGCCTCGCCCTGCAGCAGGAGCACCCGCTGCGGGGCACCCTGCTGCGGGATGCCATCGATGGTGGTGGGGAAGTGAATGCGGCACTGGAAGTCGTGCTGCATCCGGCGGATGGTGTCACCACCACGACCGATGATCAGGCCAACCACATTGCCCGGGACCTGCATCTCCTTGCGGATGTGCCCGGGCGGCACCGGCTCATTGGCCAGGATGCCGTGAGTCCGGGTGGAGGACCGGGTCATGTCGATGCCCGGGGGGAGGGACCCGCTGCCGGCGCCGCCGGCCCCGCCAGCACCATGGTGCCCGGCGCCGTAGTGGTCGCCGCCGTGGTGGCCCCCGGCGTAGTGGTCGCCGCCGGCGTGGTGGCCGGCATTACCGCCGTAATGGTCGCCACCGGCACCGGCACCATGGTGCCCATGGTGCCCGGCACCGGCACCGGCCGCGTGGTGGCCGCCGTGGTGGTGGTTGAAGGCCTCCGGGCCGTGCTCCTCCAGCATGCGCTGATCCGCGTCCAGGACCTCCTGAATCAGGCGCCGGGCCTCGGCCCGGGCCTCCTGCGTGCCGATGAGGGTCAGCTCGCGCTGGGACGGGTCGTGGGGGTTCTGCGGCGGCAGGCAGTAGATCTTGGCGCCGGAGGCCTCGCTGATGCGCTTGTGCTCGTCGGAGTTGGTGGAGATCGCGTGGCCGAGCGGCGCTTGGAACTGCATGTGCTCGGTGCCCACGGTGGAGCTGATGTTCCCGCTCTCGGTGGTGGTGGTAGTGCTGCTGGAGGTGACCGTGGAGATGGCCGCGCCTAGGGTGGCGTGGCGAGAAGGGGCCAGCGAGAGCGGGGGGGGGGAGGGGAGGGGAGATGTCAGTGGGGGTGTATAGCAAGCAAAGAGGAAGAGAGGGGGGGAGGAGGAACTGAAACGCACCAGTGCTGGTGGGGCTGTTGATGGAAATCAGGGAGGAAAGACGCTCACGCGCGGTGGAAACACCGGCCTCCGGGCCAGTGATGGTCAGGAGGATGAGCGATCCGACAGCCTCTGTGAGGGGGGGGGGCAGGGGGAGAAGGGCATTGTGATGTGCGTAAGTACAGGTGTCCGGTTATGGGCAAGCAGGCGAGCCGGGCACGCGAACGGGGGAGGGAGAAAGGGGGGGGAGGAGGGGGGGAGGACGCACCGTCGCCGACGGTGATAGTGACACCGGTCTCGGCCTCGATGTCGCGCAGATTGGTGTGGTCGTCGCCGAGGATGGACGCAGCCGACGCGGAGGGGATGCTCACCTCGAGGGAGCGCTCGCCGGCGGCTGTGGTCGAGCGAGGAAAGGAGGAAGCGGAGAGGGAGGGGAGGGAGAGAGAGAGAGAGAGAGAGACAGGTGAGTGAGGGAGGGGGGCAAGATGGCGGGAGAAAAGAAGCAGCGGCCCGCCGGAGGACGCACGGGAGCCGGTGGTGTGGGCGCGCTTGCGATTGGGGGCGGGCTCATCATCGCTCAGGTCCTCGGCGGTGCGCTTCTTCGAGGCGGAGTCGGCGCTCGGGGAGGCGGCCTCACCGTCGGCACCCGGGGCGGCGTCCTTGTCGGAGGCGGCGTCCTTCTTGGTGGTGTCCTTCGAGGTGGTGCTCTCCTTCTCGGCGGCGGCCTCCTTCTCGGCGGCGGCCGGCGGGTCCTGGGCGAAGTCGGGCTTGGCGACGCTGGCGGACGACTCGGTATCGGACATGATGGCGATGGTGCGGGGCAAGGGCGGAGGAGAGAGAGAGAGAGAGAGGGAGGGAGGGAGGTGGAGGAGTAGGGCGGGGCGGGTGACGCTGGGCAGTGGTGGAGGGGGAGGAGGGGGGGAGGTTGCTGTGTGGTCAGGTCGCACGGCTGGGCGGGGGACCCGCCCATTTTTGAGGGCCTGTGCGTGGTTGGTGCTTGCGTCGCATGCGGCCCGCCTGGACGGTGGGGTTGGCCCCGCCAGCCGGGGGGGGGGGGGCGCGCGGCGTCAGCATCGGGCAGGGCGGTCGCCGCCCTCCGGGGCGGGGGGGGGAGAGAACCCGTGAGACGGGAGGCCCATTCTGGTGCCCGAGCGCGCGCGGGAGAATATTCCCGACTGAGTGTGCCGGCGGACGTCCCGCCCGCTCGCCAACGCCCGGGACAGAGCGGGCGAGAGGCGAGGCCGAGGGAGAATGAGCGGAAAAGAGTGCGGCATGTGGCCGGCAATGACCCAATTCGGCCCGGTTGCCAGGCGCTAGACTAGTCCAAGGCGGGACAACACTGGGGGCCGGGGGGGGGGGGGCCGGGGGCCGGGGGCCGGG